CAGCAAATGATTGAAAAGAGCCATGATTGAATGAAATGATTGAATCAGGCCCACCTTAGTCTTCAATCTGACATCCTTGCTCTTCGGTATTTTGGGAAAGTCCTCAAGAGTGGACTTGCTTAAAGAAATATGTACCTTGATCTTCTGACTACTGGTACCAAGGGTGTTGATTGTGGATCCAAGTAATTAAATCACTGACAATTTCAATCCTTTCTCCATCTCTCATGATTCTATCTATTGGACCCATTGTTTTCTCGATATTAGGATGTAATCAATATTGAAGGCTGTATATAGTCTTTGATCAAAAATCTTCTCAATTACTTGTTATGCTTCAGAGAGTTGGACAATGATTAAGGATGACAGAAGAGTAGATGTCCTTGAGTTGTGGTGCTCGAGAAGAATCTTGACTGGGCTGCCAAGAAAACAAATAGGTCTCTCTTGGAAAGGGTGAAACCAAGTCTCTCCTTTGAGGCTAGGATTTTGAAAATCTGCCTCACTTACTTTGGGCACATGGCCAGGAGAGATTGAGAAGGACAACATGCTCGGAAGGGTGGATGGACACTGCAGGAGAGGAAGACCCTAGATGAGATGGATTGATACAGAGACTGGGGCAATGGGGGTTGGTGTGTCAGAATTAGTGAGACTGGCTCAGGACAGGGAAGGGTTCAGAGCAGCTGTACATAGGGTTGCTATGCATCGCAGGTGACTCAACTAATCACATTTTATGACATGTGTTTCAAGCCCTTTTCACTTTCAGCAAGCAAGGTTGTATGTGCTAACACAGGTTGTTGATAAATGTTTCTCCAATCCTTATGCCACATTCTTCTTCAATTTGCTCAGCATACAGAATGAATAGATATGGAGAGAGGATACATTGCAAACATTAACACATGTGTATTAAAACTGTGCAGTGTTACCATATTCTTCTGTTCAGTCATCAGCTTCTTGATCTAAGTATAAAACTCAAATGAGCACAGCTAAAATGTTTTAGGATTACCATTCTCCTCAATATTATAGTTTTGAGGTTTTTTTTTTGTGATCCACAGTCAAATGCTTTTCCATAGTCAATGAAACACATTCTTCTGGAATTCTCTGCTTTCAGTCAGGGTTCATAGGACATCAGCAATGATATCCCTGGTGCTACGACTTCTTCTAAATCCAGCTTGAACTTTGGCAGTTCCCTGTCAATGTACTGTTCCATTTGTTTTGGGATGATATTCAGCAGTATTTTGCTTACATGTGATACGAATGAAATTCTTTGATAATTTCCACCTTGTGTTGGAGTGTTCTTTCAGCCAGGTGGCTGGGCAGCTGTCCTCCAAACTTCCTGGCACAGACTGGTGAGCCTGTCTAGGGTTGCATCTGTTAGATGAAAAGTGTCAATCAGTATCCTATCTATTCTTGGGGCCTTATTTTTTTTGCCAGTGTCTTTAAAGCAGCTTGAGCCTCTTTCTTTGTTACCACTGGCTCTTGTTCATATCATAATTTCCTGAAATTATTCAGTGCTGACCAATTCTTTTGGTACAGGGATGTGTATTCTTTTTTTATGATTTTTAATTTTAATAAACGTTTACAGAGACTTTGGATTTCCATCCATTCATTGTTGCATTTTTCTCCCTGCTCACCTGTCCTCCCCAATTCACTCTTCTCTTTACGCCAATAACTGACTCTATAAGCCAGCATGACATCTGACAGAGGGTAACATATCTTCATGGAGAACTTTCACCATATTGCTAAGGTACATGCTATATTTTTAAAATGAGAGCATGCACATGAAATCTCAAGTGAAAACTGTCATTATTATGTCAATATATACAAGGCTTCCTTACAGCAGGAAAAAAGCCAAGAATATACAGACTGAAAAGAAGAGGGGGAAGTCTATGCAACAGCCTCTCTTCACATTGTGACATTTTCAACACAGTCCATGCAATTCTTTTTCTGATATATTTCTGAAGTAGGAAAACTTAATTGGTTTCTAAAGCAATACACACTGGTAAGATATACCTGTTTGTAAGCCATGGATCTTAGATTTAACTTTCAATCTCTCTTTTAGATGCTTGTTTGGGTATGCCTGACATCAATGCCACTTTAGCCAAGAAGAACCAATAAATCTCTGAGACTATTTAATATACTTAGCTGATACTTACGAAGAAGAACAAGCTACACCAAGAAACTGGCTGAGAACAAGAGGCCAAGTATGGTCTTTGCTTGATTGAATCCAGACAGAGGATGGTTAAGTTTCCTTTCTGTCTACCAGGCCCAGTTAGTATGCCCTAACCTTGGAGCATGTTAGTTCATCTGAACCTGGGCTAAAATATGTAAATCAACTAGCACAGAAGCCAACATAGAAAGGTACTATATAAAAATAGCTAGCCTTTAGTGAGTACCAACTATGTGCAAACTCTACGTCTGATATTTTATATAAATTATTCCATTATGTATCTTATTTTCTAGACAGTTAACCAAGGTTCCAAATTTCAGTTTATTTAGACAAGATTAAAAAGTTGGTAAGGATTGTGGCATTAGCATTTGAAATCAGCTTGTCCGATTTAAAAATTCCACTGCTCTATATTGTTTTCTAATATAGTTACAATCCATTTGAGTGAGCTATATAAAAAAACTAAATTCTAAAATGTCCCTACAGGTGTTGGTAGATTAAAGAAGGGAGGGGTAAACAACATAAAACAGCAAATCTCAAATAAAAAAACAAAACCAAAAACCCAAAACATGCTGTCAGAGATCTTAGAGTACTACAAATGCTTTTTAGTTATCTGATTTGTCCCTCCCCAGAAGGCATTTAAGGAAATACTAATTATGCTCCCTCTTCTTTGGACATGTTACGAGGGGCCATTCCCTGAAGAACATCATGCCTCGAAAGGTGGAGGGCCAGCAAAGGAAAGGAAGACCCTCTACAAGATGCACTGACACACTGATGGTAAAAATGGGCACAGGTATGTTGGAAATAGTGAGGATGGCATAAGATAGATCACAGTTCAGATCCACTGTTCATAGGGTGACTATGAGTCACAGTCAACTTGACAGCACATACCACCACCACCACCTTCCTCAAGAAAGAACATTTGTTTTGTGTTCCATCGGCTTAAATAGCCTCAATCTGACTCCTAGTGACCTTCTGTGGGGTTTCTGAGGCTGGAAATCTTTATAGGAGCCTGCCTACCTTTCTGCTGCAGATAAGCTAGTGGATTCAACCATTGACCTTTTGGTCAGCAGAGCTCTCTGTAACTCTGAACCATGCAGGTTTTATTCCTGGAAAACCCCTCAACAGCAATAAAGGCTTGTAGGCAGACTGCCTAGTCACTAGTGTTATTCAATAGCAAAAGCCAGGCCTTAGCTTTTATGTTCTGGAATGTTAGGCTAAGTGGCCTTTTTACTTGGAATTCATTTTTTTACCACACCAAATATATAAATAAATATAAATAAATACTGTTCATTTTAAAGAACTGTCTGCTTAGTATTTACTCTGATCAGAAGGAAGACCATGGAGAGGGGAAAAAAGAGAAATGGAAAAAAACCCATGAATGTGTAACCAAAGCATAGAAAGAGTCAGAGAGGAAAGAGAAGATATTAGTGCCAGCAGAAATAAAGTCAGGCTGTTTGAGCTTTGGAAGGTGAATAAAACCTTAGCTTTTACAGTAAAGAACTTGTCAGCGATACGGGACTGCCTTTGAGTGCCAAAGCCCTTTATTTTCTCAATCTCTGCACCAACAAAAAGAGATTACAGACAGAAGCCAAGGCCCCATTTTCCCCTGCCAGTAGTGATAATAGGAGTTTGAATTATTGTTTAATACAATTTGCTTTCTACTAGCTTGTCCTGACAGTATACTGTAAACCTGAATTTTAGTAGTATGCTCAGGATTATTCTGGAAATCTGAGTAACTGCTTTTGTGATTAAACTCCATTCACAATTTAAACAGAATTAGAATTGGCTTTTACTGTCTCTGCAAAGTGTAACTATTAATGCTTGTTGCCAGTTTTAAATGAACACAATAGCAAATAATTACAAACAGAATCCTTCATAAATCTAATAATTTTCCATTATTCCAGTTTTATTTTTATTTTGGTTGCTTATAAGCAGACACACTTAATGAACTTCTATGTGAATATATA